TTTGTTTCGTTTCATTGCTTACTGATTGATCTGACCGTTATTCCTTGTTTGTATTGCATTTCGCGTGTTTTTATTTATTGTGCGTCAATTATTGCACTTTGCCTCTTTCCCCAGTGAAATTAAATACAATTTGCAGAGGAAAAATTGAAATAAATACGAAAACTCATATTAATTAGTTATATAAATGGCTGTAAGTGGTCTAATTGTGTATATTATGAGTATTAAAACTAATATACGTTGTTTGTCCTTGTAAAAGGACAAAAGATAATTATAACTATAGCACATATTATGCATGTAAATGTTAATAAGCACGGAATGGCGTGTTGTAAAGTTTGTAAACCGCATCAAATTGCATATTATGCTCATCTCGTGATTTTTTTGTTTAAATGAGTTAGTTATGAAAATTTATAGGCACAATCAAAGTGCGAGATGAGTTGTTTGCTGTTTATGCAAATGTGTGCGCATTTGAATCATGTTTAGGCTTTTCCAAACACGAAAATTTTCGGCTGGTGGCTGTAACTGGTGAGCATTTCATATTATCTAATCAGTGTCAACAGGAATGTTTGTTTTCTCACGTCATCCGATGCAAAAAAATATTATTACCGTGAGTGGTGAACGTTGAAACTGGTGATTTTCTTCCTGTCGTAAGTACACACGGCAGTCAGGCGGGTTCAAAGTGTTTCAAAGTTGATTTTGTTACTCAGCGCGTAGAGCAACTACGCGTGCGCAGCATGATTGCGGATCGAAGCCGCCGGGTGTATTTATCGAAAGCGTTCGCAACGCCGCGACTCACTGTCTCACCGGCTCCTAGCACGAAAGCACAAAACGCGCACACATTAAATTAAAGCCGAATTAAATTCGACGATTCGCGTAAACCACAGACTCGCATTTCTTGCCATTGAACATTAGTGCCATACAAAGCTGAAACAACAACGTTTACCGGTTCACACGCGGAATTCGATTGGAATTTTGGAAATTTTTGGTTTTGAAGAAAAGTTCGCGTTAAAAATGAAATTGGATGTGTCTATCAACCGCGCCGAGTGCCCAAACAGCACGAAAGGCATGAATTTAATCACACGCGAAGCCCTTCGCAACGCGTTCCTGCAATTTTTGGACTTGGACTATTCAAAGTAAGTCAAACAAACTCGCGAATTAAATTTTACAAACAACACGACATAAATTCACATTTAAAATTGGTTGTACATCACATTTACTGTAAATGTACTCTGTGTTTTCATTATCCATCATTACCTGTCACCAAATTTCGGCTACTTTTGATATCGTGGAAATATTTGTGATAACGCATGACAATCACTTTATGGTTACTCATAGTTTTTGTATGGCGATTACGTTAAGCCTTATATCGAAGCTCCACGTGCGGTTTTTTAAATGTTCGATTACTTCCTCGATAATTTTGCGTTAATTTGTATTGCTTTATTTTTATTTTGCAAAAATAGTTCATTGTTGCCTGGCAGGCCTCTCGCTAGACTCTAGTGCGAACCGCGCTCAGCTCAATTAGTTTCGTCATTCCGAGCGCAACTTGGTCAGTTACTCGCTACTAATCGCACACGCCGCCAACATGTCTGTGGAAATGTGCCAAATATGTCTGCAAAAGCACGCTTGCACGCGAATATGTTGTCGAAACTTGTACAAACGTTGAAAAAAAAAACACATTTCAAGTGCACTTTTCACATTTTTAACCTTTCGAAAAAACGCCGGCGTTAAAATCTACATTTCAGAATTAATTCACACACATGGAAAAACATGTGTCACTTTTACGACTGCACGGATTGCACAATGCTTTTCTGTTCCACAATCGCTCTTAAAACAGGCGGCTGGGCGATTTATCATCATGGTTTAACAAAAAAAAATGCCAAACTGTTTGTGATTATGTATTGAAATAAATTTTAATCGCATTAACATAAATAAACAAACACGATGTTTTCGCAACGTCGGCGTTAATGGGTTCACGCATACCTATAGAATTTAAGCGCGACTATTTTTAGGCAATTATTGGCAATTAATGTTGATTTGCGCTGCATAAACCTTTTGGAACAAGCGATACGGTTTGATAACCGCTATCAATGTCGCTGTTTGCTTTCGGGATGATGCAAGTTGCGCTTTCATCAAACGTGCCGGATAATGAGGTATCAATGCAATTCCGACGTCAGTATAACATTGCGATAATAATGCACTCCGATAAAACACGTTTTATAGTGACGCACATTTTTATCGCTTAACTTCCTAACTCGATGGTGGTTATTAGTGTGAATGCGAGTATCAATGAATCGTTCATGACTTTTCACGAATAAAATATCGGGCGTTACGAATCAACGACTCGCGTTTATTTTTAGATCGAAGCGATATTGTGTTAAGTATTGCCAATTAATGTTGATTGGAATGCGAATTCTATTAGCCATGAATACATACAGGGTCATCAAATAATAATTGATTTCTTTTTATTGTTGCAGTGTCTCTAGCTGCACGAGCGCAGTAATCGACGCCAAGATCGAACGAGCTATGGTAGGTTAATAAATTGTTTAAGATTTGAACTGTATGCATGGTGGTGCAAGGTTGAAGGTTTTTGAGTTTGTCAGGAGTGAATTCTGGATGTGTCAATCCTCCGCTTTTCGGAAATGTTTGTACCGAGTGCACAAAGCGCAATTAACTTGTTGATGCACGTGCATTTCGGCGGCTGCCAAAACGCGCGCGATATTTCTGGCCGCCTCCAACTTCCAAATATAAACATCCCTTCAATCCGAGCGTAAACTGGCGTAAATATCTCAGCGCGCCGGCAATTAATAATCAAAATTATCTCCAAACCGAGCGACCAGTGAGGTAATATTTCTCTCCTTAAACTTGAAATTTGTCAACCTTTTTTGAAATATTCCCCACGTGCATGCCGGGTTTTGTTTGTTAGCCATTCTGACATTCACATTACACGTGTTTAATTTAATTGTTTTGTGGAAAATTACAGGACATGTCCCATAGCCTGATGTATGCGATGCATGAGGAAGTCGAGGTGCTCAACAAGCAGATTGTCGTCCTCGTCGACCGCATCAAGCAGCTGGAAGTCGAGAACGCCTTCCTCAAGTCCAACGCTTCGCCGGATGTACTGCGCGCATTGCACAACGGCGCCGCCGCCCCAATTGCCCCCGTGCCCATTACCTCTTGCTGTATCGAGTACGAAAAGGATATGCAGAAGGAGGACCTTGAGGTGGCCGCCATCACCGCCAATGGTGTTTTTGGCTTGCGTTACTAGACGTGCGAAGTGAGAGCGTCGCGCGGCACGCCAGTTTATTCAGTATTTTTGCAAGTGATCCACGATGACAAATTCGATGCTTCAGTCCTGATTCATCCTACTATGTAATTTGAAGACACACTGCGGACACGATGTGTATCACTGCGTATTGCCTTGCCTTGCAGTGCAAGATGGACGGAGGAAAAACATTCAGGGAGAACGCGGAAGCAGATTTTTCACACTTTGCTGTTATGTATTCGTATTTGTACCCTCGCAAACATGTAGATTGGAGTGCGGAGAATGTTTTGGCGTATCCTGATATTCATGTTACCAATTTATATCTTAGTTGTTTTTTCTAATTATTTGGACGGTGATATGATGATAATGATATGGGATGAAGGAAGACAAAGGCGAATCTTGTTCGGTGCTATGAGAATGTGATTTAGTTTGTTTATAGATTGCATTAAATGCCATTTGTTTAAGTGAACGTAATGTAAGAACGCAAGACATGACAGAAGTTGGAAGCGCGACGTGAAGCGATGACTATTTTGCAAAGGAAATGTTTGAGGTTTTTAAAATTTATGCGTCGCAAACCCAATATGTTCAAATATTCGATGATCTGAGCGTCCAGCATTTTTAGGCCTAGTCTTGCTTACTGTAGGTAATAATGGCTGTGCTAAATTAATGATAATTAACAAAGTAACACACTGTGTATGACACATAATTCAGTCTCACCAAAACGAAGTAACCAATCGAGATGTGTGATTGATAAAAACTAGTTAGGAACATTTATTTATATAGATATTTAAACAATTGTAACGAAAACATGCGGAGATTGTTGATGAGAAGACATGAACATCATATGTTTGTATTTTATCGAAATGTAGTCCCCGATAGAGTCATTTCTATTAAATATTATTTTAAACTAACACGACTAACTAATTTATTCTCGTATACGCCACTTAACCAAAGAAGTTAATTGCATTCCAATTCAAACTAATAATTATAGTTTATAATACTTATAATCTATGTTATGCAATTGTTTCATGTTATTATTGTTATCAATAAGTTAATAAACTACATTAATATTTAAAAACTGTTTCTTATTGTCGTTTGGTACTTAAAAGAACCCTTTCTTAACCTTTTTCTTAATATTATCAAATTAATTGCCTAATGCTTATGCTTACGCCCTGTCAATTGGGAACCACTATATGATAATTAAAGAGTTCCTCTTCAAAATGCATACCGTCCTTACTATTCAAACCCTTGGGAAGTATTCTCTTTAAAAATCTTTTTTTTCAAATAAAAAAAACGGGGTGGAAAACGCCCTGTATTTTGGGAACTAATAAAGATATATAGTCAAATGATAGCTATAGACTCCCTCCACAAAATGCAAACCTTCTCGACATTCTGAACCCTTAGAAAGAAACCTGAAACGCTTTTTAAAAAGTGTAGATTTTTCTAGTTTCCAAAAACGGCGTAGAAAACGCCCTGAATCTGGGAAACTAATGAAGGAATTTTGATTACCTCATAGTCAAATGATAGCTAAAGACTCTCGATAAGATTCTCGATAAGCATTCTTTCCCGATCCTTTAAACAACAACTTTATAGGGAATTTTCTGAATTTAGGGAATGGGAGCAAATTGTAAAATGGCTCTTCATTTATTAAATAAAGATGAGAAACTTCAAACTGCTTTATGTTCCTGTAATGTTTGGGGTCTCTAAGTTAACATTTGGTAATAAAATAAGACTCATCATATACAAATATAAATTTATTTAATTACAAATAGGGGACTTAAATGAGTAACACGTAAATTATGTGTGCTGCCAATTGCTTTCACAACAAAGAAAACAAACAGACACGCGCCCCAAATCGATGGAAAATGAATGTTTCTTATATCTGTTACAGTAAGGCGAGCGGTAAGATTCTACGTAATCGTACTTGCTCTTTAATTTCTTTCATATAACGCGCAACTGGCAGCTGTAAGCAACAACGCACGAGTGTTGATGTATACCAATTTCAATTTCACTACCAATTAGAACGCAATTGTTCTCTCCGATTAAAAATAGTTGCAAAATAACAAATAAATAGTATCGATTTGATTTGAGAGAAATGCGGGCGCGAAGCTACCTGCTTAAAAAGGAGTAATACATCTTTAGAAACTAAGCACAATAAATAAATTTAAACAAATTTGCTTTGTTTCATTTGATTCTAAAATGGTTCGCTAATGTAAGTCATCTCGTTTCACTGTGATAAATTCTGTAAATTCATTTATATCGATATACTTTTGCTTTCTTTCCGCCTCGCTTCCATCGAACTAGTTCACTGTTTACAATATCTATTATATTTGCATTTCTCCATCACTAATTATAATATATTTAATATAATATGTATAAATTTATCAAGGAAACTAAAGTTTTTACAATCGCAAATAAATTTTGTTCTGTCTTTCTTTGCTTGCAATAACATGAACCGAATCGCACATTATGTTCAAAAAATTTCGCTTGCAAAACGATTGTTGGTATAAAAAGCACTGGTTTTAAAATATGTACAACAACTTTATCGAACAAGAGCTTTGCAAACTTCGCGATGGCTTGTATTAAATGAACATACTGGATTCGATTCAAAACACTTGCCAAACAAAGCTTACACACCTGCTTTGCATACACACGTTTATCATTATACTAGGTGGTCCTGGTAAAAAATATAATAGAAATACTTGAGGCCCTCAACTTCTGTTATATCTTTCTGCAATCTGTAGTATCAAACACCTAGCATAATTAATAGTAGATATCGATATACCCTAAATGTGTCATTTTGCAGTCGTTTTCACTTCAGTGTTTTGGTATTTATAATAAATCAATGAAAAAATATGTATATCTTATGCTAACTTTGTACATTTTGGTTTAACTTCTAGTTAAAGTTAATTTGATAACGCAACTTGTCGCGTCCACTGCCGCCACATTTTGCATCAAAGTTCGTGTAACTTGGCAGATGGTAAGCGAGAATTGCATTTTAATTGTATTTACAAACCTACAATATATAAATAAAATTACAAACTGGTGTATTTTCGCTTAACGCTCAATCACTGCACAAAGTCCTACACACATCAGTCTCAAGTCCGCAGGCTAGCCCATGTAGTCCGGGTCGCTGAAGTCGCTCTCGTCGCCAGAGCTCACGATTTTTCGGCGCTTCTTTTTGTGCCGATGTTTTCGCAGCTTCTCGGTGGTGGACTTCCGCGGCGTGCGTTGTTTCGGTTCGCTATCAAGCCGGCGGTTCGAAATCACGAGTTTCGGCACTTTCGGTGGAGCATTATCCTAAAATTCATATTGGAAAGTTTCAAATAAAAGTTCCCAGATATATTAGAGTAAATATGTTCTTAATTACCTTGTAATTGGAAAGGACTACTTGGTCAGCATCAGTTAAAATCGACGAGGTTGCGACGTTGTTAAACGTCACGTTGGCGTTCACAGCCGGCGTTTTCGCGTTCGGGTCGTCTTCGTCATCTTCGGGATCCAACTGCATCATCAGTTGCTTAAACTATAAAGGAAAAAGGCAACTCAATTAAACATCATCCCAACACAAAAACTCTTTGCACTTACATCTAAATACTGTCGAATGAGATCTTTCCGGCCTTCAAAGTCTAAATATTGGGGCGGTGGTCCTTGGTTGATCTTGTTCAGCGTCGTTTTCGGATTGAAGAGAGCGTTACTTTTGCGATTCGCCACCTTTTCGTGGACTTTCACAGGCTCAGATGGAGAATACTGTTGAATTTTACTGAAAAGTAAATTTAACATAAATTAACCTCCTAGGAAGATGCAAAAGTGGAAGTAAGTACCCGTCACTTAAGCCAAAAGTGTCCTTGAGGTGTTGTTTAAGCACAAGGAGGAGCAGCGATCCCTGCGCTGACTTGAGACAATCCTGTAGTACGCTCACATCTTCGGGCACACGCTCGACTAATGACTCCTCGTCCTCATCCTCATCGTCCAGCGCGGTGACCATGGGCTCTCCGCGTTGTTGTGCTGTTTCCAGCGCTATTTTTTGCGCTTCAGTCATTATCAAACTCTGTAAATTAGATTATTTATCAATACCTAGAGAATAAACAAGCGAATGCAAATTACCTCTCGGAAAGTTTGAAGTAAATTCGCTCCAGACGCGGCAAGGATCACATTTATTTGATGTACAATAAAAAGCAGCTCGTCTTGCACTTGGTATGGGAAGTACGCTAAATTGTCAGCCAGGTACAGCATGTACGACAAACTGGTACACTAAAAATATTCAATCAGTAATAAAGCGTGAAACATTTAAAACTTTTCACTTACACTTTGATCAAATTGTCTTAAAATAGACAGAACTAAGGCACGTCTTTGTTGCTTCGATCCCCTCAGCATTGTGTACAGGTAACCATTCAAGGCAGATGGATATTCGCCTTGGTTCTTAATCTTCCAGCCACGTATCACAAGAGTAGTCGACGGGTTGATCATGCACTGCAGCTCATACGATAGCCGAATGCCAAACACCGACGGCGCGTAGATAAAACCCGGATACTTCTTGTCGATTTCAGCCAACTGTTTGTCGGCGACACTGGATATACACGCCGCCGGGTCGGTACTCATACAGATCAGGTACGGAATAATCTAGAATTACCAAAAGTAAGATTACAAAACTGGAGACATTAATAATCATTGAATTTACCTGAACAGGATGTACTAAACCTTGCTGCAAAACAAGTTGTATCACTTTGAGTGCAGGTTGTCGTACGGTAGCATCTGCGTGTTGATACGCCTTCAATACTTCCTTCAAGTACAACTGTATGATGGTGGACGCCATTCCCGAAGAAACATCACCCATTTCTTTGAGATTTTCCATTTTGGACCGTTTCGACCCTGAATATACGAATTTTACAACATTTATGAATTAATATTGGTCAATTTGCGCCTTAAACTTACATTCTAAATCCTGTTGAATCATCCTGTGTTCCTCTTCAACCAAGTAGCTCTCAATATTCCTCAATACCTCAATCCTATTCCTTAGCGGCACCTCCGTACTCTCCAACATTCTATGATAGTACATCTTCAGTTCCTCCTCGAGCATAAACTCGTAATGCCTGATGCATATCGCGCCCATCGCCTTCAGCGTATTCGCTTGAATGTCCTCATCATCACGATGCAAAAAGTACATAAACATCTCGTAGATCTTATCCTTCGTGTTCATCAACGTGTCGCTCACTTCTGGGTTTTTAAAGTCAAAGTACCTAAAGAGCAATCCGACCGTAAACAACGACCTCCTGAAGTACCCTCGAATGCGCACATCGTTGAGCTGATACTGCGGATGCTGATTCCGCAATCCGTCGTAGAATCTCTCCAAGAACTGAAAGTACTTCGTAAAGCAATCGCGAATCAACTTAAAGTTCCGCGTCACACGGTTGACAATCGCCGCCAGGCAAGAAACACAACTGCTCACAATGTTTCTATCATGCTGCAGGATGAGTTTCATGAGATCCTCTTCCAGCTGTGAAAGAAATGAGTCGCTCGGGTGCTCCATCATTGGCACGACAAGCTCCAACATCTTTGCGACGCGTTCGATAATCGCAGACTCATCGCGACTATCGCATTTCACGCTCAGATAAGGCTGCAGGGTACTCGCATGCTTCACCAGCAACTGCGGCCGAATCTTCGCGAATAAATACAGCGTTGTTATACAGGCGATTAATCTCTGCGAGGTACCATTACCAGTCGATTCTTCAATCGTCAAAATATTTTCAATTAAACAATCGACAATCTGCTTGCATGCAATTAGCAGGGCTTTCGGTGGTTCTGTGTTCACTTTGGTCGAATCATCCTTGTCCTCTTTGGGTTTAAACAAACTCACCAAAAGTTGTTCGAACCACTCTAGACTGTCATTGCTTGAAGCAACCACATCCGTGATGTTCATAACTTTCCGCAGCAACGAATTCGCCGATGACGAAGTAAACCACATGTTTTGAAACACTTCCATGACAAGTTTCCGGATGCCTTCCTCATCATTCACGCGACGAATCATTTTCACGCAGATTTCGGGTATTTTTGGAAACTCGGGACATTCTATACAGATATCCTTGAGGATTTTGATCACACGTTTACGCACACTTACGCCAGTGTCTAAAATTCGATCCAGAAGCACTTGATAGTATTTGTTGATCAGTTCCGGCCGACTGAGGACAAATTTACCAACTAAATCCACGGCCGCTTCGCGGACAGATGTCGAATGATCGACGATAGAGTAATTCACGCCGATTTGTACATCGCGCGTGCCTAACACAGACGGATCTGCCTCCACGATCATCGTGAGGCATTTCATTGCTTTCGTTCGTATTGCTATTGATGGTTCCCTCAACACGAAGAGGATCGACTTGAGATATATATCGAAACACTTGGAAAAATGCCGCTTTGATGCCAAATACTGCGCAATCAATTCGGCCATTTCGTAGTCAATATAGGTCTCGAAGACTTTGATTTTGTTACCCGCGCTGACGGCCTCTTTAAACGAGCAGACTTTAGACAACAGAAACTTTTTGCGTTCGTCCAAAAGTTTCTGCTGTTCAATCAACGACTCGATGTCTTTTTCCTTTTCCCTGGGATTGGATAACTCTTCATCCGAATTATCGGAATCCACGATTCGTTTCCGATTGCGATGATTGTCTTTCGCGTTGTTTTTCGGTTCCTTAATGGCCTGTTTCTCCGAATGGCATTCTTTATACCACTGTACAATGTAAAAATGACGCGCAAATTTGTATGCTTCGTCGTTTTGCGCATTCACCGCCAGGAAGTCCAATAACACTCGCTGCAGAAACTGAATTCGTTCTTCGTCGTTTTAATCTCAAGTTCTCTACTCACTACTTCACCTTCGGTTTCTCGCAGTTCTTCGGCTTTGATTTCCTTGATCATGTGATCAATTGTGCTGAGTTTACACCTCGACAACACACTGTCTCTTCGTAATCTCGCGGCAACCACCCCCAAATAATCAAGACTAGCAACTCGCAGCGACATATCAATGCCTTTGTTGGAAAAGTTACTCACCAGGAGCTTTCCAAGCAAACTAAGCACCATTTCGGTGGCTGGCCACTCGGGTTTGTTCACTGTCGTCAACAAATCCTGCACGAAGTTCTCAAACAGCGGCCGATAATCAATATCTTCGTTTTTCGTGCCGCACTTCGAAAGAAACGCAGAGAGGAAAGTGCCGGCGGTGGAGATAGCTTCGCGGTTTTTATTGCTTATGAGGACGTCCTTATCAACGTTTTTCAGCTTGTCCCGGTCTTCACCTTCGCGTTCACGGTTCTTTTTCTCCTCCTTTTCGCGATCCTTGTTTTTGCGCTTGTTGAGGTTTTCCGGTAGTACGACGATGCACTGTATGAGTTGAAGCACGAGCGCGGTAAGCATTTGAATATTCTCTTCGCTATTAAGTTTGTACGTGCGTAAACTACGCTTGGAGCTTGGCAAACGCGCGATTGAAGCGAGGATATCATCAAGGAGTAATCGGCGATGTTTTTCGTATCTTGTAAAAAGCTACGAGCAAAAATTAACAATAATTCTTCAAAACCATCAAAATCAAAAACTTACCGTCGTAACAAGCTTCAAACTAGAGAGTTGCAATTCGCTGACATTCTCAGTGAAAAAAGGCGAAACACCCATCGAAGACGTATGCAGGACTATTGTGTCAGTCAAGAGTTGGATCTCCATGAGATCCGCGAGTTTTGAGACCAATTCGCAAAGTTTATTGTACAAAATTTGAATATTTCGGTCTAACGACTGTACTGATTTCTTCTTTCTTCCATCAGCTAGAAAAATAAACAAGAAAATCAATAAAAACATAAAAAGCAGTTGTAAAAAAATAAATTTAGAATACTAACCCTTTTTCTTGCTATCTACTCGATAGGTAACGTCATACGACGGAAATATCGTATTGACAAGTTGATATTTGATAAAAAGAACGATTCTATCAATGACATCCTCGATGTAGACGCGTTTGGGCATATTACGCGCGGTAAGAATATGCAAACACGTCAGACAAGCATCCGCAGCGCCCATAACACGCTCCATCGCCGTTTCAATCCACAACTGCCGCATATTCTCGTTATCCTCGTCGGTAATCGGCGTCACACGATCAGCCCCACGTATCGTAATCTCCAACGCGTTCAGAAGCTTCACAATCTTGTCGGTGGGAATCATCTCCATACCAGCGTTGATATTCAACTTGGCTGCCTCTGTCGCTAACTCCTGCACGATATGCCGACTCAGAAGATGTTCATCTGGTACCATACCATCATCACCTGATAAAAATATTCATAATTTAATAATTATGTTCGTTTTCATGATAAAAAAACTTACCAATTTCGGTAACATCAATATTACTATAAAATTTCATCACATATTCTACGTTCTTATTAAACCTGCCGTATGTACTCGACTCCATGAGCTCCTCGATTGTCATTTTATGCACAATCGGACCGAGTTTCTTCTCAACTTTACGCAGCTTCGGTTTAATCACCGGTTCTGCAGTTCGTTCAACAGTAGGTTCAAAACGCCGCTTCTTTCCAACAAGAGCTGTGAATGTATCAGGCACGAAATCTTCCTCCTCGACGCTATTCTTTTTCGACGCTTTCTTCTTCTTCCCAGACTCATCTTTTTCATCGTTCATCTCACCATCTTCATCCTCTGAACCTGAGTTGTCTTTATACTTCGCAGCGCCTCGACTTCTCGCTGTTTTCGCGTTGGAATTCGTTTGTTCCGGATTACCTTCAACAATATCATCAATTCCCAGCTCTTTAGCCAACTTGGGCCGGTTTTCGATGAAATTCGTCAGACTTTTCTGCATCAACATTTGATCCTGATCAGATATCCTCTGTAGACGAACCACAGGTTGCATTATGACAGGATCCGATGAATTCGCAGCTGATTTATCTAAATGGTTTTGATTTATAGAATGTGGCACCATCCCAGATAAATCCTGATGGAACATTTCTGGCTGGTGATGTTGTACATTTTGTTGTGGTACCATAGACTGATTCACATGATCAAGATGTTGCTGAGGAAGTTGTTGATGATGCCCAAGATGTGAATCTTGTGTTTGCTGATGATAATTATCGTAATCCATCTGATGTTGCTGCTGTTGTGGAAGATGTTGTTGTTGATGCGGCAGTTGAAGATGTTGGTTGTGCTGATGATGCATTTGTTGTTGCTGTTGTTGCATTGGATCAGAATACATCATCTGATCCGGTTGTTGTTGTTGTTGTTGCTGAATGGGCACGTGAGGCACTCCGGTATTGTTCGGAAGGTCCATACGCGCGCCCATCGCGTGCATCCCCATCGAGTTCTCCATCGGCAGGTGCGCGTTTGGCAGCGCCTGCAGTGAAGCATCGTGGTACGGATGGAGGTTTCCGTCTTGCAGCGGCTTACAACTGTTGAGAACAGTGTTGCCGTGCGTGTACGGATCAAGGTTTTTATCGAGGAGTAACATATTGTTATGATCACCTTTAAAAAATTATATCAGAGCTAGTAAAGAATAAAAATTAGATATTTTTTTGTTTTTTTACCTTTTCCTCGGAATACATTTGGATTTGCTGCTATCAGAGATTGCAGCAGGGGTGGAATATCCCCGTGTGGATCAACCGACGTTTCGGAACACATAAAATTGTCCTTTACATCACTAGAAATAGAAAGGTTTTGCAACATTTAGTTAAATCTTATTTTTAAAGCAGTAAATTGCAATTTTAATGTTTTGTTGTTATAATTTTGGCGTAATTAACAAAGTTATAGAAAAAAATGCAGGCAAATATAATAAAAAAGTCATTGCAATCAAATATACTGTTAATTTCAAGCTAAAAGTAGAAATAAACAAGATAAAACTGTATATTTTGCATTTTTCTCTAAAAATAACTAAAATAATTTAAAAAACAAAATTTTATCTTGCATTTTATACCACAGTTTTAAAAAGAAAAAATTATAATTAAGTAATTATAAATAACAAGTGCATATATACGCGATGCGCTTAAATTGTACGTATTTTGCTAATTACTTGAAAACTAACAAAGTTACATGAATAATTTCTTCTGATATAAATTTAGTTTTAAATTCTCAACACAACTACAGTAAAATTTGAATATTTATAGCTTTCAAACAAAAGTTATTGTCCAAATTGTGTAAATTTACTAAATAAAACACTTTTTGAACAAAAATTACCTTTTAAAAACTATACATATTTTAAACAAATAAATTTACACTTACATGTGATCAGCTGAAGTTTGACTGAGCGATTGCAGCAATTGCGGCACAAGCATATCGTCCTGCGTCCTCAAATAATTTTGCGCTTCTTCAGCGACGCGGGGATGAAACAGCAACGATTTGTTGCTCAAAGTTTGTGGTAACGGCGTCGGTAATGGCATTTCAGGAAGTACTAAAAGCAAACAACAGTTAAAACCCATCAAACATACATTCCAAGTGAGGAATATCATCATCAAACGTCTACTCACAGTCGGTTAGACTTGCAACCCCAGCCAAAGTGGTGATTGGCACACTGGGAACGTCCCGATCCATCGCCACGCGAACTCAATGAACATAGAATTGGAACAAAACCCTCCTCACCCGCGCACCGTATCCATGCCTAGCACTGCGTCGCGTTGAGTATGTTCAGCCTTCTGCTATATAACAGCAATAACCTGGTACACAGACATTGGTGCTGTGCATATAGCAGAGGCATCGGCTCACTGAGTCTCACGGCACTAGCCCCAAGTGTCCTTTGCATTGGTGCACACAAACATCCTGCCCCAGGCCAACTGGTAACACATCAACTCGATTTTGTTATTATATTCCTGCCTGTTGTTTTTTATGTTGTGTTATTTATAATCACATCGGGTTTATATTCACTGTCTCTTCGAAGATGCTCTTCGGTGGATCACCAGGTTCGGCCGTGACTACATGACATAACTGTCAACACTGTGGTCGGACGTGTGTGCCTGGAGCTTCACTAACTGCGTGATGTGCAGGATGTGCGCGGCGACTCGCTGGAGGCGATGTGGTTGTGCTGCTGGGTTGCGGCGCGCGGTTGCGTTTGTTTTCGCACGCCAGGTCGCGTTCAGCGGCGGCCTGCCGCCAGCACCAGCGTCGTCGCTTGCTGGCTGTGATGCGCCCGCATCGGCCCTCTCGGCGCGTCGGCGTCGCACGCGCGCACCGGGTTGCTTTTCGGGCGGACGGGGTCGCCCAGCGTTCTATCGCGCGATGCACTATTGTTTCGCCCGACCGACCGACGGCACGATTACGAAAATGCAATCGAATGGCGACGTTCTAAACACGGATTCATGGGAGGCAAACTCCAGTTAACCAGTTTTTTCTTATTCACTTCAATGCAGCGCTCGCGGTGCGGCGTTTACGACTGCAGGTGGCGACACCAGCGCCATCAGCGAAACAAAAACAAATGCCGCTGGTCACCGAATTTGACATTTCGAGTGGAATTTTACAATTTACTACCATTTTTCATTACTTGAAGTTATGAAATACAGCTTTTAATGTTTTTAAGGAGCGTAAAGTAATTATTTAGTAAATTAACATTGATAAATCTATGTATTACACATTTTATATTAACAAATGCGCAGTTCTCCCTATAAATGTCATATAAATAGAAATTTTACAATATTTTTTAAAATCTACACTAAAACACAAAATGCATTACAAATTATATTTAATAATAATTTAACTCATAGTTATTTCTAATACATTTTATTAATTTTCTTTAAAATGTTTATAAAAATAAATATTTAAGACATATGTCGCTGCAATCGCGCACTTTCTAGAAATTGGTTCGCATCTCGGCTAAAATACTACGTCCCAAACTACCAACCACTAAAAATCCCCACAGTCAGCGAGTAAAAGCAAAGAACAAATGCTATCACATTTGTTTTCCCCAAAGCGTGGATGTTTACCGTAAACCGAGTGCACTTGCTAGTCGTGCATTTGGGTTACAAGTGCGAGGTGACGCCATTACGACCTAGCTTCGGCACTTCGGCATCCCAATGACCGATGCGTGCGATGTTTTGTTCGATTTGTTCGCGAACGCGAGTTGATCGTGTGCGGCGAGCGACGAATGCCGAGGCGAAATAAAATGCGCACGCGAAGCGACGCCCGCGCGCTATCACCCGCTTGATATCCGTTTTCCCTTTACTGTGCGCACCCTGTGGGATTTCGTCGAATTTCCTCTTGAAATCTACTCGTACTATCTCACCAAAGTTTCTTAATATTCGCAATAGGTAAGTGTCAAAAACCTTCATACATGCAACACACATTTTGTATCACTGTTCTTATCATTCGTATATGATAAGCGTAAGAAAGATTAGTTTTTGACAGATAAAATTTAGTCTTACCACAAAACCGGAAAAGTTACAGTAATAATCTTTACAATAAGTGTTCTTTATTTAATATTTCAACAGTCAGTTAAAAAATAACGTGGACAAACATCATATTTAAAAAGTTATGAGGTAATTGATAAAAATCATCCGTTTTTGACAGTTTTCTACTGATAACTTCTTTAAAAATATGCAAAAACGCCTGATTTTTAAATAATCAGACACAAAATTAACAATAATTGAATTCCTTACAAATTATTCTTACAATTTCCTGTATTTTTAAATACTTATTTAATCATTACTTAATATTGTGCAAAAACTAATTTTTTTCTTTGTTATTTTTAGATATTTGCTGTGATAAAATTGTATGTGTCATAAAAGAAAAGATGGATACCTAATAGTCAGGCCCATCCAAACAGAAATGAATGTAGATTGCATCAGAGCTCTTGCATCAGGATATACTCAGAGGAGAAGGAAGATAATGCTGGAAAGGAGGAAAACCATAGGAAGGAAACAATACTTCAATATACACATTGAAAGCTTTCACATACAAAATGGATCTTGCAAATTACGTTGCAAGAAGGTCTTTTGATGCCAAGACAGAGGCGACCGCCATCGATAATGCACTCTCTTATTCAGCAAATGATAGCATTGTGGTCCATCTGGGATCTAAGCCCGTGTTTGCCCACCAGAAGAAGTGGATGATGGCTTACAATCCCAAAACCAACCAGAAAGGATATGTATGTTGTAAGTAAAACAATAAATTCACTTACTTCACTTAAATAAATATTGTAATTATTAACTAAATTAAGCAAAAATTATCATTTATATTGCATATTTAAACAAAAATATTGAAGTTGTTTGTTGAAAACATTGTGCAATTGTTTTGTTTTGTTTTTAGCTGAATACATTAAGCCTTCATTAACGACACCGGCAGGTATGCACTTTTTTAATTTACTACAATACAATTTTTAAGTGGTTTTGGTTAGTTTTTGTTAGATTAGGTTAAAACACTATTAGTAAAAGTTGTATATCTGTAGTGACAGGAAAAAAATATAAATACAACGCGTGCGTTGCGGGTGTGAGGCAAAAATAGTGCCGCGTTTCATGGTGTGACAGCACAGGTGCCAAAATTTACGATTTTTTTCACTTGGCAGTTCATTTATTTCCTCGTTATTCGTTTACTTCTCATCATATGTCTACGGAAATAGCGTCAGAAAAAATGTTGAGAGTCTAGATCAAGGTTTAGCAATTAGCGAGTAATGGTAGTGAACTGTACACGTTTTTTTTTTAAAGATTGTTTAATTAATTGTATAGCGTTAGGTAATTTATTTAAGGTTATGTAGTTGGCAGAACCAATCAGTACAAGATAGTTGATAATAGCATGTTTATTTTATTTTGAGGTGTAATTCAGAACAAGAAAATAGTAGGAAATATAAAAATACTGATAGGAATGTGACTCACCAAGTATTTTGTTGTTTTTACACTTGTTAAACACATTTTCGACTTTTTCTTTCAATTTTTATGCATTGCAATCGCCATCTTTATTTTATTACATGTCAATTTGATGTTAAGTGGGTTGCCTAGTATTAAATTCTTCAAATTAAAAACTGTGAATATTTTTGATTGTAAACCAATCTAAATCATTACATTTCCACAGGTTGCATTAATTTGGTACCCAGTTACACAGTCCAGCCACTATTCTGTCTTCATTGTAAGTATTACCAGCCAAAAACATGAAATTAACACATAAATAACCTAAATATTCAATTTTTCTATAGGCAAAGATTACATCTGGGGAACTGGTCGAGTCGCACTCGTTTGCAAAGGTAAGTCCCCTCTGAATGGGCTCTTTACTCACTAAAATAATCAATTAAAAGCACATTAAACCTTCCCGAGATCGTTCTGGCAGCAAAACAAACGCGTTGAACGTGTTAACGCGGCGCACAATTTTCAGCCACATCTCACTCCACACATTGGCAATGATAATCATGATGATAATAATAATAATTAAGCGCAATTATTCAGTGACATGCCTTGTTGGCGCCGTAAGTAACGCGCCCGCCGGGATAACACCAGCAGGAAACTTGAAATTAGACGTAAGTGATCGTAATTACGCGTATTTCGGGTTCGGCGTCATTAAAATTGAAAAAAATCAGAATCAATAGATGTTTCATCGCGTGTAATCTATGCGCATTGATATTCTATCGGATAATATCAAATGTGTAAGTGATTTCGTCGATTGTAGTTGGTTTTAATCTCGAAATAAATGAATTGTAAACTTGGTTTACTCACTTTTTGTTTGTTTTCCTAGTGCAGCACGAATTTTAGTTTCGAGTCGCAGCCTTGAGACGTTGAGACATTTATTGCAACACATTTCAATGAATTAAGATTATTGTTAGGATATCGCAGCTAAAATTAACTCAGAAACTTGTATTTTCTTCATATCTCTACGATAGGCTGATTTTTATATTGTAGTAGTATTGTTATCTCGACGCGTATCGGTGTTAATAATTAATTTCTGCTTGGTGTATTACAACACCTGGTTTATGCATGAATTGAAATAAAGTTGCTTTAGGTTCTGACCCGATTAAAGTTAGACAAAGGGAAGTTTCTTGTGCGCATGCTAAGTAGGAGCGTTTAGTTGTAATAGAATCGGAGATTTTTAATGAGACATCTAAATGCAAGCGCGGCCGGGAAGTATTCTCGAGGAATTATATTCATGCGTGCTACCGAATCTTTTGTGCGTTTTATGCTTGGCGATCGTAAAATACGTGCCAAAACCAAGGCCACGCTCGCGCCCGTTCCGTGTTGGAGACTCTCGTCATGTCGTCAAGAATAGAAATAATTTAATTTCATTCCCGGGGCGACCGGTTACGTGCGCGAAATGGCCGAAGAAGCGAGTGTGGAGGGTAACTCGCACGCTCGCCATTGTGTGTGCGGTTGAATTTATATGGATTTATTTGGGCCAGTCGAGTCGATTCGCTTGCGCTCGCCGGAGAATTATGTAAAATGTTAAAATTATACCGCAAGCGCGCGCCGTGCGCTGGCGAGCGGCCGCCGATAAACCGTTGATTCGTTGATTGGCGAAGCAGAGGAGGTCACGGCGAGTGTGACGGCGACGCCCTACTGTGTTGGCATGTGTATGAGAAGGATGGCGTGTTTCGGTTGGCGGAGCTGCGCATGAGCGAACCGCGTGGTCGGTAGCCGCTAGTTTGGTTAGTTCTCCGGGGCCGACGAAGGGGCGCTGCGCATCGAGCGGCGTTCGGCATCCGCATCCGCCGGTCGTGCCCGCTCGGCCCGTCTCTCGGTAGCAACAGCCAACCAACTAGCGGCCTGCCGCAGCTAGTCGACTTAGCGAGCGGTGAGCGCACCGAAGTACACAGCTAGTCGTCGCCGGTCGCGTACGTTTCCCGTGCCATCACGCCATCGAGCCCCTTGTAGGATTGGTGGCTCAGCCGGCTGGTTTTCTCTGGTCGGATGGATCTATGGTGTGTCGCAGCGCGCAGCAAGCCTCGTGTTCGCAGCGCGAATGTGAAAAAGTTGGCCGATTGATTCTAGCGTGCAGCCGCGCCGCGCGCCTGCTATGCGGAGGACAAAGCAGTCGTCGGTGCTGCGCCAGTGTGACTCCCTAATAATTCGAACCACCAGCCAGTGCGAATCCCTTTCTAATCGCGTCGTGATGACATAATGAGCCAGAACGCCAACGACTGCTTGTCGGCGGAGAGTCTAGCGGGGCCGGTAGGTCAAGCGGCGATGGAAGAGTTCGTCCATCGCTACCTGGTGCCTCTCGAAGCGGCACGTTACAAGGGCTACGAACAGCTCGTGCCCGAGCTGAAACCAACACCGCCGGTGGTGAGCATCGACACCGAGAACTACATGCTGCGCGGCGTGAGCCCGGCTCCCGAACCGCAGCAAACGCCGCCGGCGATGCGCTCCAACCGGTCGGACGTCGACGTCGAAATGTTTGTGCTGCGTGAATCCGCCAGTTCACTCAACGGTGGTGGCGGTGGCGACGCCGGCGTTGTCCCCGAACCATCCCCCAGCTACTGCGCCAGACCGATCTCGGTGCACGGCTTCCTGTGCTCCTGCCACCCGACGTGCTGCTGTACGTGCGCCTCTTTATGTTCACCAGATTGCCATGCCTGTTACCACAACGTGTGCGCGCGGTTCGCCTACGTGCAAGGCTGCCAGAAGGTGCCCGGCGCCCCACCACTCAAACTGGAAAACCTGGTGAGTACCCTCTTCTTGTTCTTCTTGTTCTTCATTTTTCTCTGCTTGGAATTCTTTCATCGCCGCGATAACGATCAGCTGATTAGGTCCTCACAGGGCTTAAAGGGCCTAATGCTGCTAAGCAACAGGAAGCGGAAGGAGAAGGCGCTTGAGGTCAGAGCTCTGTTGCTAGGTTGTGTCGACGCGAGCCGGCGCCGCCGCCGCCGCCTCCTCCCCATCCCGCTGCGGCGGCGTTTAGCGCAATCAAAATATAATGAATTCGGTGCCAATCTCACCCTTTGCGTCAAGCGCGTCAATTTAATTTATTTATAAGCGTGTCAGCGGCACGATGTAATTACGCGTTACAAATTCAATCAAAAAAACTAAAAATATTTATGGTTTACTTTGCATTTCGTATCATAATCCACTGATAAGAAATTGGAATTGACATAATTTGAGGTCAATAATTTCTAAAATTAAAAAAATCAATACAAAAACTTAATTATTTAATAATTGTCATTAGTTTATTCGAGAATAGAAACATTTTCTGGGTGTATAGTTGCTTGCATTTGTGATTTGAACACAATTGTGAAGTGCAATGCAAATTGTAGCGCGTTACAATTATTGCGAGCGTAATAATTACAATAAAACGTGCGCGTGGTGCGCGAGACACAATGTGGAACGACCTCTGCGATATATTCTCTCTCGCTGGCGATGGTGTGTGACACAAAACACACACACGCGAATATATAAAAGTCGACCTAAGCATTAAGCATTGACTGCGCGCGCGAGAGACTTTTCGCGCTGAGCTCAGCATTGCGCATTTGCGCATTCTTGCATAAATTGTATTTTTTTTATTCTTGTGGATGCATATTGCGTTAATATCGACAGCGCGGCGCCATGTGGTGGTGCACTTGAACGACGCACCGTGGGCTATTATTAGTCGCGCGCGCGCCGATTGTGTCTAATAATGGTTTTAATTGGGTCTCTCGATGAGAAAAACTATCGAAATGTGCGCTGCGATGAGTGCTTTTATTATTTTTTCAGAGGTCGAGTACGCGCGGAGGTGATGCCGTCTGTGAGTAATTATTGCGGCGCAAATTGATTCCGAAAAAATGGCGTGCGATAAGCGGAAATTATCGGCGCGCTTTTTTTCTCATACCAGAAATCGCGTTTATCGCGCGCGGATGATAAGAGTATCATCTGCTCGAGATTTTGTGCATCTACGTCAAAGTAACGGACCGTATTAAATAAATATCTACAGGAATTTATTTATATTTTAAATATCAGGACCGTATTTAGTGATTTTTTGATGTTAAAGCTTTGAGTTTTGTAGGTTTTATGTGAAATATCTGAGCCGAACGAAAGTTGGAAGCGCGAGGCCCGCCGGATAACCTCGACGATGACCTTTTGGTGTATGGTGAATATTACAAGTGCGATGCCGACGCCAACCGCGCGCGGATTTCATTTTTTTATAATATAAATATAAATTGTATTACTTATGCACATAGGTGCCTCAAAGCATAATTAATGAAATTCATTTTCAGGCTAGACTTTGTTTTAGAATTACGGTTTGAGTTTAGGAGTTTGTTTGAAATTTGAAAACATTTGTTAGACTAATATTATCATATTATCAACATTAGCACTACCTAATGATAAATTGTTTAATTAAACCCACGCGGCGCACAGACAGACGCAGATAACATAAATATTCATTAGGCAAAGCGATCAAGATTAGCTCATCATTTGTTGGTGTTAATTCGTTTTTTTGTGCTGGTGTTGTGGATTTTCATTTGCGTTTCGTGCAATTTGTGTTACTTGGATTTTCTCGCGGTGCTGTTTTAGTTTTCGACGCGTCGAGGAGATCGGTATGCACTTTTCATATCGAGCGCGCATTGTGGTGTGTTCGGTTTCTAGTTGAAGGTTTTTTTTATGGTGTAATCTATAAATTTGCTGACGCGATAAAGGGTACTTAGATTCGCGCGCGCGATGAACGCGACCTGGAACATCGTCTGGCTCGTGAGCTTTAATCGAATTTGCCACAACGTGAATTCAATATTACTCAGTCTACAAACAGTAAAAGAATATATTCTACTCATTCAAAATGATAAATTATTATCTATTTTATATTACAGTTAGGAAAACATCGATTTTTTTGAGTTAAAATAACATCAAAATGAATTAAAACACTCATCAATACATTAATTTGTTGATTAATGAACAATTATGGTCACAAATCTTCCGCTATTATTGTTGATTTTTATATTATGATGATTTAATTGGCTTTTATACTGTTTGAAGGGAAAATAACTGGAAAATATTGAAGAATGCTGTTCTAGCAAATGTTTTTAGGTCCTGAAAGTAATTTTTCGGGTTTTCGAAGACTTCCGGTGCTTTATACAATTAACAAATTGTTTTTTTTACGATAAAAATGATTAAAATATGGCTGACGATATTGATTTGGTTTGTTTGGTTGAAAACAATGCATTAATGCCTCATTTATAACAAATTCCATAATAATACACCTATTTCTTCATGTATAGACACATTATAATCAAAATTCTTTCGATATTATTTTTATTTCGTATTTTTATGATGAATTACTGGACTTTTATTATGTTTGAGAGGAAAATAACAGCAAATTATTACGAAATGTTAATTTAGGAGATGTTTTTAGGGCTTAGTAGTAATTTTAAGAGACTTTCTGTGTGTTACCTTATTAATATATTCTTTTTTACGCCTGTTTCTGAGCTTTAAACAAATTTGCCACAAAGTGAATACAATATTAGGTACGAAATTTTTAAAAAGTCAGGAAATTAAAAAAGTAAAACACATCCTACTCATTTAAAATTCTAAATGATTGAATATTTCATTCTTTAAAAATGAAAACCTTTCGGAAATACTGACGTTTGTGAGAAATTAACACAAAACTGAATTAAAACCAAACCACACTCTGCATATTCATGTAAAAACCTGAAAATTTTCGAATATTTGTATAAAAATACCTGCGAAACACGTACAAAAAAAATTACGATTTTATTTCATATATAAATATTTATTTAGTTTAATGATGAATATGCCGGGTGGGGTTTTAGTAGGTACGTGAATCTTTTGGAATCATCTCGGACGATTTCTTTATACACAATCATTTAAAAATATCTATCAGCTGGCAGATCGTCAAAAAATCGAAGATTTTTGCACTATGTGCGAAAGCGCCTGCTTCTTTTTTATTATTTTTACGTAACTCGCGAATTCCCCAACGGTTTTATTCTATTTTTTATTTTTAGCCGCGTGTACAATAAATTATGTACAAAATAAGTAGATCATTTTATTTTTGAGGGCGCCGCTATAGCGCAGCCTTGAAAACGGTGCACTTTTTGCTTATTCCGAATAATTTATACGTGTTTTATATTTATAATTATCATTGCGCACATTATGCGCGTGATTCGCAGCCAAACGAATTTATTTTCGGAAAAATTTGACACAATTTAGGTGCAATTTTTTTGAGACGGAAACAAAAATTATCACTAAATGAGAGTGATATTTGTTTTATTTTTAGCGTTTTACACGTTCGCGGTGCAGTTATCTTGGAAATCCGTTTATTGGTTCACGAGGCCGATAACAATATTACACACGCGACGCGAATTATTAGCGAAAAATGTCGGAGTTGGTGTGGTGTGCGTTTGAAAAGTTATTGTGCTCAAATTGTGTTGGAAACGATGCGAAAAATTGGAATTATGTCATGCTTTAAGTCATGCTCGTTATCCGCGGGCGCTCGCGCATTATTCGACGAGAAGCCGGTGACGCTCGCGCGTCGCACTAATGGTAGGTCATTGCGAAGCGAGTTAATTACGATAATTATATACACAGTGCGCGACGGTTGATTGACGTCTCGGTCGTTGATTGATACACATGCACACATGATATTTTACTTTGTTGCCTATCAAATGAATTTAATAAATAAAATTATTAAATTGAGAAGTTTTTTTTAGTTTTAAAAAAATCTTCCGCTTTTATTGTTATTTAATGTTTTCATGCAAGTTTTTTTTAGATTTTGAGGGTTTTTAAAACAGTTCCGGTGAGTTTTACTATTAATAAATTGTTTTCTACCATAAAAATAGTATATAGCATATTATAAACCATAATAAAATAAATTTAACAGTTGAAACATGGCCTGCGATATTGATTCGGTCTATTTTTGGACAAAAACAATGCATAAATACCGCATTTATAATAAATTTCATGTTAATACAACTATTTATTGTTATTTTCTATTTTTATAATGAATTAATAGATTTTTATTACGTGTGAAGAGAAAATAATAACGAAATGTAAAGAAATGCAGATCTAGGAGATGTTTTAAGTCTTGAGAGGAATTTTGAGGGTTTTAGAAGACATCTGGTTAGTTATACTAGTAACAAATTGTTTTTAACGATCTGATTTTATTTATCTGGTCTATATTTTGTGTGAAAATAATTCATTAATGGCGCATTTATAATAAATTCCATGATAAAATACTTTTTTTATTGATTTATAAACATTATAGTTAAATGTAGCTTGAACTTTTATTATTATTTCTTATTTTATGGTGAATTAATAGGCTTTATGATGTTTGAAGACAAAATAACTGCAAAATTTAGAGAAATGTTAATTTAGGAGATGACTTTTGGTGAGTTATACTATTAACAAATTGTTTTTAATGATAGAAATTATCAAAACATGGTCGACGATATTGATTTGGTCTATTTTTGACCAAAAACAATGCATTATTATTTCATTAATAATAAATTATATATGTAAATATGTTAAAATACATGTTTATTGAATTATAAACATTTAAAGTATATATCATTAATAAAATTTAGCTTTTTGTTTATTTTACTTAAACAATTTGCGCTTTTATTATTATTTTTTATGTTTCTGGAGTATTTTAAGCAAAATATGGAGAAATACGGATGCAGGAGATGGTTTTATCATTTTAGAGAGTAATTTTAAGGGTTTTTAAAGACTTCCTGGGAGTA